GTTTGCAGACAGTTGTTTCAGATTCAATATGTTATTAAACTGCAGGAATTCTGTCCTTACTTTGCCAATCCTCTCCTTCACGTCTGCATCTGTCCCTCTTTGTTCATCAATGACGCTATCCAGGTACGTGAAACTTTCCACCTCTTCCAGAGTTTCGCCATCAAGTGTGACTGAGTTGGTGTGCTCCATGTTGTACTTCAGAATCCTGCTTTTTCCTTGTGTATGTTGAAGCCTACTAATGCAGAGGCTGATACTACATTATTTGTCTTGATCTGCATCTGTTTATGTGTATGGGATAGTGGGGCCAGGTCATCTACAAAGTCAGAATAGTCTAGCATTATCAAACTTACCCATTGTGTTCCGTGTTTCCCCTCCGATGTCCAGTCGACCACAAGAAGAAAGAGAAAGCGGGAGAATAAGCAATCTTTTCTGACTCGATTTCTCACTTGGAATGCATCTATCAGCTGTCCTCCATGTACCGCTTTGAAGTGTAATCCGTTGTATGAATTCCATGTGATTTTTATGATCTCAGGTACATCGTAGTGTCATAAAAGGTTTCTCCTATCCACACTGTCAAGTGCTTTCTCATAGTCGAAGAAGTTCCACATGCTTACATGAATTGTTGCGAAGCATTAAACGTTCTTTATGGTCAAATATGATTAAATCAATTATCTTTGAATTCCGAGATTGTCATCTTGCTTTACTTTTATACTTTATTTCATAAACAGAAGTGAGCACAAAATTTTCGAACGTACTAGTTTTACCTTGTAAATAAGAGTGGATGACTTTGTTATCACTGAGTTATTAAGAAAAATCAAATATCTTTTCACATTTATACTACTGTTCATCATTCATAATATTCCGCTTCCGAGATCTAGGAAAATGAGTACATTTTAAATTACTTTTAAATACTCACATACGGATGTCTATACGAATTTAATGGCATTCGAATCTTTGTTATAGGCATAATAATTCCTTCTGGGGAGTAAGATCTCAAGAAACTTAAACGTACTCAACGTTTATTTTTCGATAAAATGAACCAGTTAAAAATTCTGTAAGAATGAATCATGTAAAGCGTATATAGCTCTGTTTATAGAATGTATCTTAAATATACAAAGAGAAAGGTGTATAAGTTTTGTGTCTTATGGAAATATACAACATTTCTATATTATATGAGTACTATTCATATTAAACTTTGAGTATAATCCCCCTGTGTTATATATTTTTATGCGCAATATTAGTTCATTATGTAATTTCTTAGTTCAAAGTTGTTGTTAACAGCAGTAATTAATATCTAGTTATCTTGTTCTCATTACATAAACTCATATATTATTACATCAAAAGATATTACTATTTTTTTGTAAATGATGTTCGTTTCCCTTTTACAATTCACAGACTTTAATTCCTGACATCTCCATGTCACTTTTTTTTATCCAAAATTAATCTTTTTTCAAAACATAATTCTTAGATATCCCTATAATGTAATAGGATATTAAATATATATAATGAGATTTTACGTAATGTGAGATTTCTTTTTAATTTCCTTATGCGAAATAGGAAAAAACGTGTTTAACTAACTTCTTTACACTTGTTTGTCTTTCATGTTACTGTTTAGTAAATAAAGTTGTCGGCATTTGTTTTCGTATATAGACCTTAGAGTAAAACACTTGAAAGAGTGCACGTCTACAAGCACAAGTTTATATATATATATACAGTTTTGACGCAATCAACTACATAAATAATCCTTCGATAAAAGTCTGTATTTTTGACATAAACTGACAAAAATTTCATTATTACAAAGAAGTATAAAAATAACGTTTAAAATACCATTATTATTATTACCACTATCACTATTAGTCTGGTATTTGTATATAACACCACTAGGAATAGTTCATAATTTAACTACTCACTATTTTAAATAGAAGTAATGCTGATAGCAACACTTACAACAAATAACGACAAATAATTTATCAAAATAACATCGACTACATTTTAAATACATTTACAGGTGTTTCTTTTCCATTTTTTCTACGTAATCGACGTGTTACTATTCTCATTTTTATGGGAAATATCGTTAAACTGTTAGTTTTAATGATGAGAAATAATAAACAGTTGTAAGTAAGAAATGATAAAAGACAAAGGGAAGGAATCATTTCAAAGAAATTAATTATGTAAGAAAAATTAATAACAAAATTTTTCAGAACTAATATGTATAAGCGTTTTGTCTTCAAATACAACCGATTACACCCAGGCATACACACACACGCAACTGTGCCTGTAGCTCTTCTAGGGTTACTGCAGATTTCAAGTCCGAGTAATGGAGAAGGTTTGGTCGTTGGGTCAGCAACCCCATCCCGTAGAAAACAACCTTTCTAAAAAAACACTAGCAAGAATACACATATACGCATCTATATGTAGACAATATAGTGTAAAAATATACTGAGAAAAAAGCAATCAGTCATACTGATAGAAATCTTATCGTCAGAAGGAAAGAAATTATAAAACGTTTTATTTTAATCTAATCAAAATATTAACATTTCGTTTTACATCCAGTCTTTTTTCTAACCGTGATATTTATTTTTGGTAAATCAAGACTTCTTGGATGACATATGACTGTTATTGCAATACATAGTTGACTGGAAAATAATCAGAGCTTGAATTGAAATCCCCAAATGAAACTTATTTGCAGTATTCATCTATTTAAAGAATGGAACAATGCACGATGTTGAAAGCATGTTGAAGTAGATGTGCTATCATTTCATAACGTAATAAACCAAAAAGTGTTATTATCTTTTTCGTTCTGTTTCAATAAAATTTGTACAACAGTACTCAGTGAATAATTCTACTGATACAGAAATAGATTGAATAAATATAAATGCACATCTTAGTTGCCTGATAGTTTAAATAACGTTTGAAGTAAACGTTTTACCAAATAAGCAGAGTTACAGTTGAAACTACTATCAGATTACAAATTTTTTGACGTATAAATGCCTTTTCATTTGATAAGTTTAACTAATGAAAATGTCTCTGGGATCATTATATGTATTTTATACAAATTTTGTCTGAGCAGTCTATTAAAACTAATTTTATGAACTCTAACAGCAATGTTTTTAGTAATTAGTTTACCAATGTTGTTACTAGACAAATACACCTAATTAGAGTGAATTATTCATTTAATTACGCAATAAATGTAATAGTATTGAGAAGCATCGTTTTTTTAATGTGATGATTTTCGTTCCTTGACACATTATTAACAGTCATCTTAAAGAGATCAACTTTAGCCATTAGAAAAAAACTAAAATCAATATCCCACATACTTTTAAACTTTTGACTAAAACACTATCGTTGTTAACATGTTGGTGAGCAAAATCGTATAGTTTTGTTTGAGAGTAATTTATTGACGGGCAACTCAACTCTTCAATTAATCAATGAACTATATGGATTTTTACAAATTTCAGCCAAACCAAACCTACTGAGATACAAATGTATATGAAAAAATATCTTCCTGTCTCTTTTATATGTTGCAACATACATATCCAGAATAATATCACATAGTTAATATATTGATGCTTCTGAATTATAAAAGCAACTATGGTTGGATTCTGTAGATAGTTCCTGAAGAGAAGAAACTTATAGAATTTACATAATGAGGGCTTTCTAGATGTCTGATGATACGTGATCCGTTTTTACTTTTTAGTATTTATTAAAAATAGTTCTTAAGAATTGAAGAATTCCGCTTCATAAAAATTTGTTCTTTGTATATTTCCGTAAATTTGGTGTATTTGTAGTTCTTTAACCCTGTTTTATTAGGTATGAGTATTTATTTCTCACGAAAAGTGTATTTAATTGGATGTCTCAGAAGTAATCATCGGTTTCACACATGAGCTTTTAACCATTACTCCAGTAATTCCAAGTTCTCAATGAGGGTCTATCTAAGAATAGTTCAAAATTTAAAACCGTAAAACATCTATAATCGCTACAAATCCATTATACTAATAAAATGATTGGTCTCCAATTCAAATGTTTTTAAAGATTTCCCACAAAATACCTTTTAATTGTCATTTAGTGGATTAAATGTTTTAATGACCAAATGAGGATAGTGAAAGGACAAAAGCTATTTATTCTATATGATGACTCATTTATACAGTTTAACATTTATTTGTTTTTCAATGTCTATTGATTCAATATATTTTAATGTCGAATTCTTAATATTAACAAAAATGATGAATACCATCAATGTAGCACACTATCTTCTACATTCTTCTAGATAATAGAATTACAGTGAAAGAACTGTTCGAGTTGTTATAACTTTAATTCTTTCACTTTTTGTCATTATTATCATTTGAAACATAGGATGAAATCAAAACTTCATGGCGCAATTCGAAGTTGTGAGAACGGTATTGAAATAATGCGAACCCTCATATTAGTTAAATATCCTTCTCTACAAGCCAGTAACCAATTTAAAAATGTTTTTCAAGGATGTAAATGAAGTGTAAGAAAAGTTTAATTTCACTCTGGTTAAATTTAAAACAACTTTTAGTATTTCATAGGTATCATTAAATTGAGCATTGTGTAAATTATTATGAATAAAAGTAATATATTTGTAATATGATCCGATTTAAACTTAGGTTAATTTTAATTTGGTCATTCGTTCTCTGAAGAAATGGCTTACACTAGGTCACGAAACGTCAAAGAAACTAATTTTCCCATTAATTGAGATATTATAATTATATTATTTTTATTTATAACTTCTAGCATTGTTTTCATAATCCCCATATTTTCCTTTATTCGATCATTTTTTTTGAACAAATTTTTCTCATGCGTTAACTAAAACAAATAAACTAGCTTGAATATTTTCTTGATTAAACTAATCAAAGAATTAGAACATTTCATTTTCAAAAATGATTTGTTGATTTCTCAACCAATCATAACTTCTCGTACTTTAAGCCAATCAAATTGTTACCATACTTTGGTCATTTACTGGGTAGTTTCATTTGCCTAGTTCACACTTCGTGTTAATACTTTATAGATTTTAGGATGTTAGTGAGATAATAAACTTAATAAATTTACTGGTACATTTTTAAAGGACACTAATCTGTTGATTTATCTTGTGGATTTATATCATACTATGCACTCCGTAGAAAATTAATACGAAAATCATTTTGAAATTAGTCAATAAACACTTTCATAACAATCCGGTAAGTCAACAATTACATTTAACTTTTATTAAGTTGTAGTTTAAAATTTTTGTGCAATTACTTTGATATTTTCTTGTGTAATTTAGATATTTCACTTTTGAAGCTTCACATAAATGTACAAGTTTGTTTCATCTAAGCTACTACTCTTTCATTGCAAACTCTTCATTAAGGATTAGATATATTTCATTTGTTCAAGATGAACTTGATGAATTCGCCACACTTTGGAATCGATTATCGAATCCGACATCAAATTAGATGTAAATGTTAAAATAAGATTTTTATTCATTCCTAAATATCCCACAGTTGACTAGATTTTCAGTTTAATGTTAAATCCCTATCAACAAACTCATAGAAACGAGATATCAAGTTACTGATCTTGCTCTGTAAACTGAGTGATAAAACATGGTTAGCAAATAACAATGAATTCAAATAATGAATGGCATCAAATACCTTATAACGTTATTGTTTTCCCCGTTTTGACCAATTTGTTTATCATCAAATTATGTTTGTTTTGACTAAAGGCTTCAATGTTTTACACTTACTACGCTGAGTTAAAACTCTTAATCAGTAGGATATTTTTTCAAATCTGAGACCGTATCGCTGAATTACGAACTTCTTTAAAAAAACTCTATTGGTCATCTACATTCATATGATGCTAAACTTACATCGTGAAAATAAAGATCTACACTGCCCATTGATTCAATATAACTTGTTAATGTTAAACTTTTGATAATCATCAAAGATGACACAATATTTAGATCTTTGTTAAACAACAGCTTACAATAAGACAAAAAAACCTAAACTTATGCATTACATTTTATTAATTTTAAACTGTAATTTTGCTTAGATATTTTCTAAAAACGCTTGATAGGTTTCTTAAATTCTAAACATTTCCTTTCTTTAACTAAATAATACACCCATATCATCTACATTTTAACAATGGTTATAATAATCTAAACAAGTTATCAACACATAAGCTGAGATTAATTCTTCAGTTAAGGTTAATACAACAAAAAAAAGCGTCAGTAAAAATTTTTTTTATTACATATTGGTTGTTTTCTATAACAACAGAAAATTACAAGAGTTTGAAAGGCACTTTATTTTTCTATGATATGGATCAACTAACCTAATTACTTAATAATAATAATAATTTGCCTTTAGAAATTAAGGCATTGTATTTTTCTGATAAATAATTTCATAATGATTAACACTAAAAAAAAGAAAGAAATTTAAGGTCATCTTAGTGTAAAATACCAGGACAATAATTTTTGGAGTTTCTTTAACTAGTACTTGGTTTCATTGTTTATGTTAAAATTATTGTACAATCAATTGTTCAGGATGTAACAAGGACATGACATCAAATAAGAGAAAGCCATTTCCTTTATTTATTTATTTCTTGTAAATTAGTCTTAATAAATAGGAAGTTGCCAAGAAAACTGAAATAATTATGATATAGAACATTTTATTGTTAGAAGATTGTCGTGACCAATGTTATCGGAAATCTTGAACCCGTAATATATATATATATATATATATATATATATATATATGCATATTCAAATTTCTCCAAAAAAACAGTTCTTTCTTGACACAGATTTCCACTAAAAATTAATGTTTTAATAATATAAATAGGTTATCATCAATAATCGCCTAAATAACTGGAATATTATTTTAATGGTTGAGATCATGAGTCGATTGAAGATAGATCATCATGGAAAAACCTGGAAGCACTGGATGGCCGTTTCGTTCTATTGTGGGACTCCTCGGCTGTGCGCATACACGGTCCCACCACGCAAGATTCGAACACAGGACCTATCAGTCTCGCGTGAGAGCTCTTAATCATTAGATCACTGGGCTGGCCGGCATCCAACGGTGTTAATGACTAACTTCAACTAATCCACGAAATTGAGCGGCGTATTCACCATTGTCATCAGTGAGTCACTATCTCATAACAGACCCAGTTAAACTTCACTGCTCACTGCTTCTCAGTAGAAATCCAGGAAATACCTCTTGAAGTCAGTCACTAGTGAGCATATGTTGATTAGTATCAGAAAAGAAACGGTGGGTCTTGGATTTGGATCTCACGAGGTAGGATCGTGGACGCGCACTGCTGAGGAGTCCCACAATAGGACGAAACTGCCGTCCAGTGCTTCCAGGCTTTCCATTATGGTCTAGCATCAATTAGCCTATGATTTCAACTATTAAAATTAGAATGTTATTTGTTAAACATTCAGTAATCTCTACCTTGTATCATATAAATTGTCAACCTCTTCAAATACCATAAGATATCATTCACAAAATAATAAAAATTATCGTTTCATTTGTTTGATATAAATTATACGGAACTATTTTTATCCTTCTATTATAATTAATCTTAGGAATGTTTAGTATAATTGTATGTGTAATTGAGTTGAAAGACTGTTTATTAAGAAACGTAGCAAAAAAGCATAAAAATGTTGCTGATATAACTGTTGTGTCTTATCTTAACTGTTCAATGACAAAACTGTCGATCATATAATTAATCAAATTTATAGGTTTGTATTGATATTTAAGTCAAATATTTTATTTAGATTCCAAGTAAAACAAGATAATTTTACTGAATTCAAATAATTAATATTTCACTATATTTTTAAAAAAATTTAAGCGACACATCAGGTAGACTACCTTGTCTGAATCTCCAACTTATAAAATGCAAAGAAATCACTATGATATTTAAAATGTTATATAGTTTTGGGAAATTTTCGCTGATATTTTTATTAGGAACCATTCTTCATAGATGAGTTGTTCTGAAGATCATGTGTTTGATGATGTAAAAGAATTTGTTTAGTAATTCACTAATTACTACACCATTTCAACATAGCAAGAATACCAAGAGTCGGATTAATAGTTGGGTTAGTCATATTGAAATATGACAAACGCTGATTATACTGCTAAAATTGTAGAAATAAACGTTTGGGATCAAAATCAATATTAAAACTTGATTATCAATTGAAGATAAAGACTGAGAAAATGTGTACAACTATGGAGGATCTTGTGTCATATTGTCCAACACTCCCAACTATTTATGACAATCGTCAAACAAGACCCAACTAAATAATATTCATTATCAAATAAGGTTCAGATCAGTGATCACAGGCTCCGTGGATTAGAGATCAGGCCTTTGTTTGATTCCCAATAGTCAGGCTCCAGTCTACTACTAGTCCAGCCAAATCGCATGTCACAGTTGTTGACAATATGTATAATATAACCCAACTACCTTGGTCCATGAAAACTGAATGCTTCATCAAACAATGTTTTAGCTTTCCTTAGTACCCAGATAATAACCTCAAGAACGCTCACTCTGTGGCTCCACTATATACAAGAGGTACTTTCGCTAGATTTACCCCTGATTTTTTTTAATAAGTGGAGATTACTAGTGAATGGCTTATGCTCCTCAACGAGGGGTAACAGGCGTAAGTAAGTAAGGGTTCATATTACTTTCCCAATATATACCATATATCTTGTATTATTTCTGTTAAGTGCATTCACAAGCCTACAAGACTGGATGTTTAGTATTGAATTTATGATCAAAATCACAGTAGATGACTCTTCATGAAGAATCATTAACTTCATGTGAAAACTGAATTACACACAGTGTTCACAACAAATCCATCCCTTGTTTAAGCCAAAGAATTGTGTAATCTTCAATTCTTGAATAAATCCTACTTAGAAAAAGTTAAATGTATACTGATGATGAGTACTTTACAAAAAGAAGGGAGAAACTTTTGTTTTCATTTTATATTTCAATATTAATAAATATTAGCTGAATACTGAATTTTAGTTGAAACAAGTATAACCATCATAAACCATTTGACAAATTTAAATCGATTACAATCAATTTAAGATACATGAATATTCATTCAGTAAATTAATGAATAACAATTTAAACTTAATTTGAAATACTTTTATAAGTAAGAATAATTATCAAATCCACTTGGAACATATAAAGTATTGTGATAAGAAATTAAATCAATGAAATAGACATAAACTATAAATGTGTATATACACATATATATATATATATATATATATATATATATATATATATATATATATATATATATATATATATATATATATATATATATTATATATATATATATTTTATATATATATATATATATATAATGAAATATTAATTGTTTATTTATTCTAATAAGAAAATATAATACATTAATAAAATAAACAATAAATTGAACATGTTCTTATTCTATTCCCTAGTTAATTGATTTTTATTGAATATTAATAACTAATCAATTTTTCACTCTTTTAACAGTATCTAAATTCATTACTATTTAATTTATTATTGTAATTAGGAATACTATTATCCTCTTTGTATTATTATTATTATTATTATTATTATTATTATTATTATTATTATTAGGGAGAGATATATAGCTAAACTGGTAACGTAACATGATAGTAAAGTATGTGAAAAACTATCAGAGCAGTTTTAAACCAAATCACTGACAAACAAAAAATTTTCTTTTAAAAAGTGATAGTTCCACTAACAACTCCCTAAAGGCAAATAACTTAAATGTTCACTTTTGTTTTCTTTTCTACTAAGTAATAGAAATTAGTAAGAAATTTTAAATAAATTTATATGTCCCCTAATAGGATGAAACGGACATCCAAATTTTCCATGGTGGTCTAGCTGCAATTGACTCATGGTCTCAACTGTTGAAAATTTATGTTGTTTTTCTAACACAAATGTCTATTTTTTTGTCTCTTATTCCTTAAAATGTAGATTTATGTATGATTTGTAGATCAATTAACTAATTTTCTTTATTTTGTCTATAAATGATTGGGTTTGTTATGTGATGAGTCAAACATTCTTTGTAATAATGACACGTTACAAAGTGTTATAATAGCAGGTATATGTTGTTGACAATTTAGGATTTACGTTAAAAATGAAAAATTATATATTTTAATTGAGATCATGAACTGATTGATGCTAGACT